TCTCTTTATGACTTAAACGACGTTACTGGAGCATGATTCTTCCCATAAAAGAGTTTTAATGTTTACATTTACAATAAAATGAGAAAACTGTTTACATTGGTGGAATTAATGACGTATTAAACATGGCTTCCCCGCACATACACAAGCGTGTGAGGTATTGTCAGTAAAGGCAACCCGTGCTGGTAATTGCTATTCATACTAGATTGGTTGTGTCAACAAGGTTCAAGGTCACCTTGTAGAAAGGGTTGCTCAATGATTAAGTAGTGACATGAGTCCATTGTGATGATAGGGCGTTATTTCAACCTGTTATTGGCAGCCCATTGTAAAACCTAAATAAATAAATATTGTTTTCATATTATTTCAAAGAAAATCCAAATAACAATTAAAATTGTAACTAAAAGCTAACAAGTTGCACATAATTGACAAGTTTACCAAAACCAAAGAATGGTTTCAAATACAGGAACTGCTGCTGGTAGATAAGATGGTACCTGAATCAAATAATGGTGCCAGGTAATGGATTCCAAGATCTGAAAATGGTACCAACATCTGATACAGTTATGATATACTTTTGAGAAGTGTACTGAGTTCTAAAAATGGTGTGGAGTTCTGAAAAAAGTATAAAGCTCTGGGAAAGGTAATAATACCTAGATATGGAAATGGAACAGATATCTGGATCAGTGTAGGGTCTGTGGAAAAAATCATCCATGACAATTTGAACATGCATAAGGTGTCTGCACGATGGATTCCAAGGTTGCTCACACCTTTCCAAAAGCAGGAATGAGTCAATTGCTCAAAGGATCTTTTGGACATGTGCCAAAAAAATCAGCCAATTTTTTTGACAGACTTATCACACAGGATGAAACATGGGTCCATCACTATGATCCTGAGACTAAAGTTCAGTCGATGCAATGGAAGCATGTGGAGTCACCACCCCCAAAGAAGGCAAGGGTGTCCGTCTCCTGCAAGACAATGATCCAGTACACAACTCTCATGTTGCCCAGACAGAAGCGCGGTCCTGTGGCTATGAAATCCTTCCACATCCTCCTGACTCTCCTGACCTTGCACCATCTGACTTCCACCTCTTTCCAACCATGAAGTCATTTTCCGGCTATGAAGTCTCCGAGACCTACCAATAGGCTATGAGGCCAGTTATGACAGTCTCCGAGGCCTACCAATAGGCCGGCTATGAAGTCTCCGAGGCCTGCCAATAGGCGGTATGTAGAGGCCGGCTATGACAGTCTCCGAGGCCTACCAATAGGCCGGCTATGAAGTCTCCGAGGCCTGCCAATAGGCGGTATGTAGAGGCCGGCTATGACAGTCTCCGAGGCCTGCCAATAGGCCGGCTATGACAGTCTCCGAGGCCTGCCAATAGGCGGTGTGTAGAGGCCAGCTATGACAGTCTCCGAGAGACCTCAGGCAGATAACAGGTCAGATTATTCAGTCAGGTATGTGCTGGGATAAAACATCCCACACTGGAATGTTCACGCTACACGATGCATCTCCTTGAACCGTGTGCTAAGGAAACCATTCAGACACTTCAGAATACCAACACTTACAACACATCAGATGGTCATCAGAGTAGAACTCACTTGATGCACACTGGCATTGAGTTTTATATGAATGCCAAATTGTTATGACAATTCAAGTATGTTTCACAAACATGAACCTGGCACCCCGCTTGTGTCTCCTGCTGCCCCTCCCTCCCCAGGTGATGCCTAGGGCCTGGCGTCTCATACCGTAAGTTGGTTGACTGAACAGGCTGTGCGACTTAATCAGTGTAATCACACCAGCAACATCGACTCAAACCCCACCATCACCAACACCACTACTAACATCCTCACCAGTAAACTTTCCCCACAACCCACATCATTTACAACATCATCAACCCATGTGAATACCAACAATAATGCCACCATCCCATGTGAAAACTAACATTAACACCACCAACCATGTGAATACCAACATTAATGCCACCATCCCATGTGAAAACTAACATTAACACCACCAATCAATGTGAATACCAACATTAACACCACAAACCCATGTGAATACCATCATTAACACCACTAACCCATGTGAATACCAACATTAACACCACTAACTCATGTGAATACCAATATTAGCATCACATCCACCTGTCAGTCTCTACAAGCCACTGTGAAACTGATGAAATAACACTGTATATACACCAACGACTCCATGGACCCCACGTGTGAACAGCCACACATATCAGTGTGCTAGTCACTCTGTCCCTCTGTCCCTAGTTCAACATACATAGACACTAGCATGAAACATCCATCTCCAGTTGATTTAACAGAAATGTGAAGTAATTAAGACATACAGCTCTGAATGTGACCAGTCATTGACAGTAACAGCCCTTGCCATTATTATGAACATCATCTCATATGACAGATTTGGCATTTGGCCCAAACTACTCAACTGTTGCTGCTTATATATGATGTACACTATATTCAGTATTGATTTGATGTTAAACACATTTCATGGAACTGAAATATATTTATCTGTGGTGAATAGAAACAATATGGAAACACGTAGAGGTCGGGGATGGGTGGAAGACAGATTGTTGAGATTTGCGAATCACAGACATTAGTGGTGAAACCCTGGTCCACTCTGGTCACAGCTATCTGCTGGGATACCAGGCAGTTGGCATGGAATCTACACTGTCCACCAGCCTGTCACTGTCTATACCCGTGCCCTCTACCTCTCGTACTGTACACACTGTCTAGGCGTAGTCACATACTTGTGCTATTAAATCATGGAAGTTTTGTGTTTATTGCGGAGATTGACATCTTTTATTCATTCATATGAGCCCTGTTTTCTTGTCATAAGGTTTGTTTCCTGCCTTGATCAAATCAAAGATGAACATCGATAGATCTATGTACTTTCATACAATATTGGGGCTGGATGGTGGGTTGGTGTGGGGTCAGAAGGTGGGAAGGGCTTGGGTCAGATGGTGGGTAGGGGTGGGGTCAGATGGTGGGTTGGTGTGGGGTCAGAAGGTGGGAAGGGCTGGGGTCAGATGGTGGGTAGGGGTGGGGTCAGATGGTGAGTTGGTGTGGGGTCAGATGGTGGGTGGGTGTGGGGTCAGATGATGGGAAGGGCTTGGGTCAGATGGTGGGTAGGGGTGGGGTCAGATGGTGGGTTGGTGTGGGATCAGATGGTGGGTTGGTGTGGGGTCAGATGGGTAGGGGTGGGGTCAAATGGTGGGTTGGTGTGGGGTCAGATGGTGGGTTGGTGTGGGGTCAGATGGTGGGTTGGTGTAGTGAGCCTGTGGGATAGTTTGTTAGCCTGTTTATATGTTTGTTGTTTATAGGCTGCACTCAGCAATATTCCAGCTACATGACGGCGGTTTTTAAATACTTTTGTTTGGACCATACAATCCAGTGATTGACATGAGGATCGATCCACTTAACTGAAATTCTATGACATACATCAGCTAAGTCTCGTTAGTTGCTTCTTCTGACAAGCATTGGAAGACCAATTCATTTTCACCTGAAACCCACACTTGTCGTAAGAGGTGACTAATGGGATAGTAGCAAGGCTGGTTGGTTATGGTGGTGAGGGATGGGGTGAGATGGTGGGTAGGGGTAGGGTCAGATGGTTTGTAGGGGTGGAGTCAGATGTTTGTTAGGAGTGGGGTCAGATGGTGGGTAGGGGTAGGGTCAGATGGTTTGTAGGGGTGGGGTCAGATGGTTGGTAGGAGTGGGGTCAGATGTGGCTGGAGTCAGATGGTGGATCAGTGTGGGTCAGATGGTTGGTAGAGATAGGGTCAGATGTAGGAGGCAAGATGATGGATAGGGGTGGGGTCAGATGGCAGGTAGGGGTGGGGTCAGATGGTGATCGGTGGTGTCAGATGGTGATCAGTGGGGTCAGATGGTGGGTAGGGATGAGGCCAGATGGTGGGTAGGGGTGTGATCAGATGATGGGTAGGGGTGGGGTCAGATGGTAGGTAGGGATGGGGTAAGATGGTTGGTAGGGGTGGGGTCTGATGGTGGGTAGGGGTGGGGCCAGATGGTGGGTAAGGGTGGGATAAGACGATTTGTAGGGGGGAGGCATCAGATGGTGGGTAGGTAGGGTAGGGATGGGGTCAGATGGTGGGTAGGGGTGGGGTCAGATGGTGGGTAGGAGTGTGTGTTGATTAGGGCCCCATTCCACAAGGCTATCGTAGTGTAAAGACCACTGTAACTGCCAGATTTTGACTCCCATCACTTACGACAGTTGTAGCGCTACGATTACTTTGTGGAACAGGACACTGGTCTCTTGAATCACAACTCAGAATCATTAGCAACAATTTGCTCCTCACACTGGAGGTCTGTGCTTGATGTCCCTCTCTTCAAGTTGCCTGTCATGATCATTGGTGCAGTTACTGTTCAATCTCATTAAAACCAGACCTCAGTTCTCGCTACCGCTAAACAAAGATCTGAGGACATCCCATTAGGGGTCACGTCAGAACGACCTTTCATCCGACCAATCAGAGCATCGCTTACCAGATTATGAAAGAGACAGTCGGAATGTGGTTTCTTGTCATGCAACCTCGAAAAACTATAACTCTGAACGATAGTTACGGGTTTAACGACAGAATCCATACAATCTAGACTATCAATAAGCCATTCCAGAATGTTCTTTTGTTTAGGTTTCAAATTTGTAATCAAGGATTTGTCAAAGTATGTTTCAAAGCGTAGTCGCCAATTTGAAATTAGTGCAGTAAAGCCTTCTGATTTGTCATTCCATTGGTCGGTCAAAGTTCGCGCAAGGTCGGTCTGACGTGACTCGTAATAGGATGTCCTCAGATCTTTGTTTACAGTAGCGAGAACTGAGATCTGATTTTAATGAGATTGAGTTACTGTTTAAAGCATCTTTGAGCCACATTCACTCATTCTTGCTACAATAATGTCTCACAAAATTCCATGAGTATTCATGCTATTAATCATGAACTTAACGATTTGATTTTGATTTTGATTTTGATTTTGATTTTTCAGTTATATGAAAACGCAATGATAAACGCTGGACTGATCGATGATCCCAGGACGATGGTGGGTCGACTAAACCAGCTGCTGGAGAGGGCACTGCAAGACAAGTGAAGCACCACCACCAGGTGGCAGTGACAGGAAGTAGGGGGCGCTGTGAAGTCTGTACTGAGGATGAAGCAATGAACAATACAAGTGTACACTATTCCTTGATGTGTTATTCACGGAAGTTTGGCCCTTGTTTGTAGGTTTCTGTTATCTTATTTGTGACCACATCGAATATTCATCACTTCAGACGAAGAAAAGCAATGATGTTGGCAAAATAAATTAAATTGACTTTCATCTCATTTTCATCTCCAGGTTTTTCATCTTTGGAAAATGAGTTGTGGCAAATCTTCATCAACAAGTTAAATGTCATTTTAATGTCACTGTTCAATAAAGTCTAAATTTAGGTTTAGAATTTATCAAATGTCTACACATTTGTTGATATTGACATTTATGCAAATGTCATATTTTCCATATAACTATCCACTTCTGATTGCCAGTGTTGAATTTCATCTGGGTAGGCTTTTCTTCATATGAGTATTCTCAAGGAATTGTGGAAATACTTTTTTGTGTGAATGTAAGTTGTAGGGAATATAGTACTATTTAGTGTGATTGTATATGGTAGGAATATAGTACTGTTGTGTGTGAGTGTATATTGTAGGGAATATAGTTTTATTGTATGAGTGAACTTTAGGAGAGTGTGTACATACGTAGACCTGAAACAGTACAATTCGCTGCTGAGGTCTGGTGCCAAGATAGCTGTGTTCATTCAAGAAAAGATAATAATAATAATTTGCATATCAGCTAAGACATTTTAAAATACAAACTGCTTTTGATCTGTTGGTAAAGGGGACATTTGCTTCTGATTTGGGAAGTCTGTTGAAAATGAATGGCTAACAAAAGATTTTGATTTGTGTGAAAGTATTTTTCAATCAATGTATAAGTTTATGCAAAGGAATAGAGCTTGGAAGAATTTTATGCTTTTGTGTACTGTTCATTGAATGAAAACAATCTGGGGTTATTCAGATGCATCTCTTCATTCATCAAAATTATTATCTTGTCAGGTTGGTTATCTTTTGCAATTGCTAATCTTCCCGAGGCAAGAGAGTTAACTGACATTAAAGGTCTAGTTTCCACCCTTGCCGAACTAAGCTGGAATTCCTGGGCTCGATCATAGCGCCACCAGTGGTTATTACGGGTTATGTCCCTTCTAAGTCTCTCCTATGGACCAATCAGATTCCGTCATTTGCATTTGTTTCAAACAAAATGGCGGTGCCCAGTCAAGCTCCATGATTAAAAAGATGAAAAGGTTTGGAAAATATCTGTTGACAACGAGTTGGCGGTGCACATGCTTTGCAAATCCTGCAATCGACCAAAACCTGCGAGACAGTTTACGAACCAGATTTCGATTTCGTTTCATGATTTTCATTGGACTATGCATAGACTCGTTAGTCCAGCCAAAATGTAACTCCACAATACCAGCCTAGTTCGGCAAGGGTGGGAACTGGACTTTTATAGTCAGTTAACTCTCTTGCCTCAGGAAGATGGCCATTGCTTGACAGAATTATGTATCCTACTCAAAAGGAGTTTAACAAACACCCAATTTGTGACTGTATTAACAGGAAGGATTAACTATAGTCATGTGAAAAATTCAGGTGTTCTTAAAATTCTTTTGAGTTATATATGTACCTTCCTCCAGTCCAGGGGATATGTCAGAAGAGGTTCTTGTACTCCGGAAGTCTGCAGGCATCTACAGCCGTCGGTAAATGTGCTTCTGTTTACCAACCAGGGAATTAGCAAATCTGTCTTAGACTGAAGTCTTCTTTGACATATAGCCCTTGTTTCATTTTGTTCAACGAAAATATCACACTGCATTTCACACTGTGGTTGTTGCAGATCACCGTATTTGATACGTTTTTCACTGTGTTTGTAAACTGATCTTGCCTCCATCACTAGAGGAGTGGCTGCACTGGAGGAACATGTGGCAATCATTGTCTTCAGTTTTCTGTTTACCTGTCTGGAGGAGTCAATGTATATTGAATATTCTTGAAATAAACAGAATCAAATATCTGAGGTCTTGTTTTACCTGATCCAATAGGATGAAGTAGATTGGTCTCTAGTGCCCAATGCATTTCAGAAGCACAAGACTGGAGATCATCTGTGATATGGACTATTGATGGAAGGGAGCATGGCAGTGCTCTGCAACTCACTGTGTAGAGTTACCTCCCTTAGTTGTGCCAGGATTTATCATCCCTGGACTGTCAGCACCATGTCTATGTGTATTGGGGGTGTACATGTCATGACTCTTTCCCACATGGAACTGAAATACCGTTCAAAATGGTGTCAGTGGATAGATCGTCTGCCCGGAGAGCGGAATGTCCGTTATTTGATCCCCAGCCACGTCATACCAAAAATGTCAAAGGATGGATCTTGTTATCCTGCCGGGTGCTGGGCATAAGGGGCTAAAACAAGGACTGGTCGACCCAGTCAGTATACTGTGTCTGAGAGGGGTATTCATGTTAAACTGCGGCATGGTATCTCAGCACTAGAAAAACGGCATCAGTCCGGGGTTGTCCAAGCAGGTACACACACGTGCATGCCCGTCTCTATAATCTTGGATGTGATGTGAAACCCCATTTCACCTCAGCTCAGAATGGTGTTAAACCAAACTCACAAAATGGAAGCCTCTGACAGGAGGATCAGATCAAGGGATACTTGACAAGCCTACTCCGTTTCAGAAGATCACTAGCTCTTTAACTGGATGACAAAGAAGCATCATTGTTACAGTGTTTGCTCATCACATAAAAGTCTTGTGTTCAAACCTCACAAGTAATTTGTAATTCCCGTTATTAGTGTCGACCACCTTTGTGTTACAAATGTAACAAATGTTATATTTGGGATAACACTTTCTCAGTAAAGTACAGATTCTCATACTTTTTGGGGGTTGAGTTCTGTCCAGGCATTGTGAATTCATAGCTTTCGGCCATGGGAACCCTGCCAATTTACAGTTGTCAGAGGGGTACACAAAGTATGTGACCTAGACTACCAGTTGTCGGGCTTTCATTTTTGTGGAAGCCTCAGTGGCTGAGTGGGTTTAGATCGCTGACTTTGTGTGCTGGCGATTAGATGCCTCACTCTGGCAGTGTGGGTTCGAATCTGTACTTTACTAAGAAAGTGTTATCCTAAATATACCATTTGTTACACTTGACCACTTTCTAAATGGCAGTGTGAATTCACACCTTTATGTTGTTAGTATAGGTCTTCAGCAACCCATGCTTATCGTAAAAGGCAACTATGCTTGTCCTAAGAGGCGACTAACAAGAACGGTTTGTCAGGCACGCTGACTTGGTTGCGTAGATCAGTGCTTACAGACCGCCGTCATATAGCTGGAATATTGCTGAGTGCTGCGTTAAGCAACAAACAAACAAACAAACAAATTATGTTGTTGGAATATAGAGAAAGCAACATGATACATAATTAAAGTACGAAAATTCCAAATATACCCTCCAATTTAAATTGAAAATATGCTGTAGCACAGTTTATAGTTGTTGAAACCGGAACATCCACCGATCCATCACTCAACAACAGTTGTGGAATTTACCAGACCCAATTATTTTGTATTCATGAGTTATGTCTCATAAAACAATACATCGCATGATTATGCCGAGTGTGGAAACCGTGCACAGCTGCTGTGTGTAGTGTCAAGGTCACTGCACACTTGAAGGTCACACAAGATGTTGAGGATATGCAGACCAGGAATGATGAAGTCGTCGGTCGTTCAGGATGCACAGTGACATCCTGTATAACATCCTGTATAATGTAGCCATTGGTAGTCTTGAACATACAGGGAAATCTACAAGCCTTAGAGACTGTGCCACAATAATTTTTTTTTTTTTTTTTCGTTGTTTAACGCCACACTCAGCAATATTCCAGCTATATGTAAATAATCGAGTCTGGTCCAGACAATCCAGTGATTGACATCATGAGCATCGATCCACACAATTGAGATATGATGACATGCATCAACCAAGTCAGCGAGCCTGACCACCCGATAAGTGGCCTCTTACGACAAGCATAGTCGCAATAATGTAAATAATAGATACTTTGTGCTCTATAAATTGTATGCCATCACCTTCAGACCTTGATTCGGAACCGCCTATTTGATATACTTTGGGAGGCTTGGATACGTTTAAGATATGTTTTCAACTACAGCTGCAAAACCAGTTTAATTAAAACTATGACCCTAAATATTTTTTTAATAAAAAAACATCTTGCAAGAATCTATTTTTGTGGCGGACGATTTCTTTTTTTACAACAATCTGAAGCATAAGAATTTTTTCCAGGGCCTTTCTGGGACATTTTTTTCAATAAAATCCCATCCTCAAGAAGATCAAATGGTTGGTCTCTCACAGATGACTGGTTTAGATACCTTGTGATACCATGTATGTTGGTATGGCCGACCTAAGTAAATTTGATCTCATCTATATGTTTTGAGCCATTGTTTGTTCAGGTCAGTCAGTTGGAACGCCACACCTGGACAGGTAACAGATTAACTTGGCATGTTTACAAATTTGGTTCATGTCCATGAATATTTGTCTCAAGCGTTCGTTCCTACAACGCGTCTCTGGCTACTTTTTGTCAATTTAATGTATCCTAAGGCCTGGCTTGTATCAAGCTTATATCCTGACCCAGGGCCCTGTTCCACAAAGCGATCGTAGCGCTAAGATGATCGTAACTCCATACTTTGAGCATAGACTTACAACAGTTGTAGAGCACTACAGCTTTGTGGAATGGCACCTGGGGCCCGTTCCACAAAGCGATCGTAGCACTAAGATGATCGTAACTCCATACTTTGAGCATAGACTTACAACAGTTGTAGAGCACTACAGCTTTGTGGAAAGGCACCTGGGGCCCAATTCCACAAAGCGATCTCAGTACTACGTTGATCGTAAGCCTATGCTGAAGTATGGGAGTTACGACCAACTTAGCACTAAGATCGCTTTGTGGAACGGGTTCCAGGTCCCCACTGGGAGCACCTGCTGGTTGGGACTTGTAGCAAATTACAACTATTGACCACCATTTGATTTTAGGACCCAACTTCTAAATCTTGGAAAGAGGAAAACACCCTAGTCCTCATGGGCTTGTTTGTTTGTTGTTTAACGCCACACTCAGCAATAGTCCAGCTATATGACGGTGGTCTGTAAATAATTGCGTCTGGACCAGACAATCCAGTGATTGACATTATGAGCATCAATCTACGCAATTGGGACATGACATGCATCAACCAAGCCTGACCACCCGATCTCGTTAGTCGCCTCTTACAACAAGTATTGTTGCATTTTACGACAAGCAAGAGTTGCTGAATAAGTGGTTTCTACTGTCGCCTTCAGTGCACTTTGCCTACAGTCACTTCGCCTACAGAAATTGTAGCATGGTGTGGTAGTTTGCCTGCACTAATAATAATACATCCCTAACTGACAAATGGATTAGTCCACTCACTATCTCGTTACAGGTTAAAAAATTCAAACAAAGATACTGTAACAACATATCAAGATAAAACTTGTAACTCTCTGATCTTGTTATGTTGTTACAATGTATTTACCTGAGTATCTCACATGAGAAGAAAGAAGAGAGAAGCCAGCATATAATTAACAACAAAGTATAAATTCAGTAACAACACTTAATCAAGTATGAAGGCTCAGCCATACAAGATGATACTGGTTAGTCCAAACATGCAGCTGCAGTGAGTAATGGGGATAAGGACTCAAACTGG